TGTTCTATCTCCTGAATCCATTCACCGTGCTCACCTGCGTGGCAAAATCTACTTGTGCCATCAACAATGCAATAATCGCAATTTTTTGTAAACATAGCATATACTGAAACAGCAGATGCTGTTAGACATTACAACGGAACATGACTGAACAGGCAAGATACAGACTCTCCAATGCCAGTTAGTTGAATTGTGTCGGCAAGGATCATGGAGAGATCAGCAACCTGTATCTTAGGACATGCTTCATTTCTTCTAGAACTCTGCAAAGTTCTAGATGAAATCATTTTAAAATGCAAGGGATACACTAGTTTCACTGTAACCACTGATACAGTGCAGTTATACACATGGCTGCACACCTACATTTATCTCAAATTCTAAAGGCTTGTTTTAAGTGGGACCAAATTGTACAATAAACATCAAAAGACAAACTTAGTACTGCTATATTTAAGATAAAGATCTCAACAGTGGCTCAAATCCCTTGTATCAAATTCCTAATAGCACGTGGGACTGACCGGGAATACACTAGTGTTACCGGTTCTATTCTCCACTTCCCCATCTTAAATATTCCGCTGATCAAAAATTTAATTTCTCTCCTTCAAAATAGTTTCAGATTGGATCTGAAACGTGTAGTAACTGTGACTGTCTAGACACAGGAGTGCAACAGATTTGCTACTTTCTTCTTGTAATGTTACAGATTGACAGATTGTTTGTTTTAGGCATTTACCTTTTTGAGGTGGACCTCTCATTCCTCCACTACCTCCTCTTCCACCTCGAATCCCCCTAGGAGGACCACGGCTTCTTGGGGGTGGGGGTGGTCCACGTCGTCCACTATTTTCAAATGCTGGTTTAGTAGCTTGCTCTACTTTAATGGGTTTTCCATCCAAAGACTTCAAAAAAAATTGAGAGGGAGTAATAAAAACGTTTGCAGTGCACTCAGGACTGGATTCAACTTAAAAAGGGTGCTTGAAGGCTTATAGGGTCAGTTGTGATCAGGAGGCATATACTACAAATTATACCAGAGTCTCAAGCAGAGCCCTGCCTTTGGCAATGGAACCAAGTTTCAAAAGGATCCAATATGTACACGACTTCAGGTCAGGTGACCAGTGAATTGCTTTACAGAACCACAAGTGTTTAAAAGAAAAAACACCAATGGTCACAATTGTATATGGACAGTGAGGCAGACTAGACAAGTCTTACCAAAGTATTTGATAGTGAATAGATTTTTCAGCGTCCTGTGCAAACCCGACTCCCCCTGTCCTTTTTACATCTATTAAAGGGACCTGTCAATTTTATTATGAGCTCTACCTGCATTAAAGATACGTAGTGTGCAGATTCCTGCCAAGTACAAGATACATTCCAGTTCACTGGATGTGAAAAGCTGCAGTCAACAACAGAAACTTAATTAACCACAAATCATGGTGGCAACATCCCTTTCTGGATTTAATTCCAGCTGTGTAGCCAAGCTCAGAACTTCTTAGAGGAAAGATAACATCAGCTCTGATGATCAGTGTCAGTGAAGTCATCACTGTTTAAACTTAACACAACAGAAGCTGCAATGGTATTGTTCTATAAACGTAGATTGAACAGCAAGTATTCCAGCACAATATTAAGTAGTGGAACTAGTTACTAATGCCATTCCAACTAAATCACGTTCCCTTTAAGACAAAATTATTAAAGTCCACAACATGATCACAAGATTATGAAAAACTATCAATGGCAGCAGGCAGATTCAATAACTAAACTGTCAAGCCTCAGGATAGCATTGCAGATAAATCGATGGCCAGTTATACTTTCTAGCAGCCAAGAGGAATGGAGAGTGTTCTTACACCTTGATAGATTAAAATTGTTAGAACAAGGAGAAAAAAATCTTATTGTTACGGAGTGCATGAAAGATACAATATCTATTTATTTGTTTAAAACAGGAAGAGCATACAAATTTTGCATACCCATCACTTCTTGTTTCTACTGACACTAGAACAAAGGTCCAGTCAACAGTTTTGACAGAACTTACAACAGCCAAGTAGTCCATATTAAACAATGTGTGTCACGCAAGTTTAGAAGCAGATTTTGTATCATCTCACCTTTCCATTCATATCCCTGGCTGCATCCCTTGCATCTCCTGGACTTTCAAACGTAACAAAAGCAAAACCCCTTGACTTATTTGTTTCACGATCTTTCATCAGCAGAACTAAAAAAAATTACAAGAGGAAGTTATCAGGATTTCTACAACTAACTGCACTCAGCATAACTTAAGGCAGCACAATTTTTAGGAAAGCACAACAGCACAATCAACAAAATCACTTACATTACACAAATTACTCTTGCAGCATTCCCTCTACACAAAGTCCACAATAGTTATGACAACTTTTGTATCTCATTTGTTTTTAAATACATTGATGTTCTTCACCAGTCTCTTACCATTCTGGCCAAATGCTTAGCAGAAAAGCCAACTCAAGTCTTGTACTTCAGCTACATACCTTCTACTATTCTTCCATATTTGCCAAATACTGCTTCAAGTGCCTTCTCATTTGTTTCAGTATTCAGACCGCCAATGAAGAGTTTTCCGGGACGATCTGCTTCCACCATCGTGACAGTCACCTGCAGAAGTCAAAAATGCATTAACATTAATCCATGTAATGGAATAATACATTTTCTGCAACGTTGATACAACCATGTTCATTCAATACCCCATTATAGATATCAACTAAATGAGCACAGTATTAATTATGTGAGGAAATATCAGAGTTCACGGTCCTGTTGAGAGATATCCCTCTCCAATGGCAGGAGTTAAGTCAATAAGTTCAGTGGGATGAAGAAAAAATTACTGGCTTTATACATGATCTTCAAATGAGTGCTATGTTCACAAGCAAAATTCAGAAACTACAGATTTCAGTACCAGATTGGCCAACTTCTTACTGTTCAGAATGAAATCACAATATATAATTGAGAAATGATCATCTGTAAAAACTAGCTTGGAGCGTAAAGCATTGTGTCAAACTGTTAACAAAGGTAAAGCTACGTAAACCTATCAATATACTATCTCTGCACAAACTTCTGCTCAAGTTTTTAAATTCATTCACGGGACTTGGGTTTTCTTGATTATTTATTGTCATCCCTATGCGAGTCTACCACATGGCATTTTTCTTATTGAATTCAAATTTGACCATCTGCTACAGTGAAAGTATACATTTCAGCAAAGTGTCATTGCTGAAAACTTGATAGACGTTTTGCTGGTTTTTAATGAACCCAAGTCACAATTAAGGTCAAAACAGGACAGATCATTCATGCCAGATAGTGCTCTAAATCCCAGTAATAATCAGTTTTGTATTCTTCCCCTTTCTCCCCAGTGAAGTTTTCCTGGGAGTTACTGAATCAGCTCCACCACCCTTTCATGCAATGCACACATATTAAGAAAATTGTCAACTGAAACAAAGGAGGAGCTCCAGAAAATTACAATTACCAGTGGTATAGCATTATGTAAATTGTTGGAAGTAATAGAATTTATCCCATGGCCTTAAAACCATAGAAATGATACAGCAGTGTGCCACTTGGCCCATCTCGTCCATGCTGAAACAAAGACACCAAATATTCTTTCTAATCCCATCTTCCTTCACATGGCCTTTGGCCCTGCATCTTACAGCACTTAAGGTGCATATCCCAGTACTTTTTCAAAGAGTTCAGGGTCTCCACCACCAACTTATTCAGCAAACGCCAGACTCACCACCCTTTGCATAAAATTACCCTTCCTCATATCCCCTCCAATCCTCTGCCCCTTAGCTTGAATCTATGAGCAAAAACAAACTGCAGATGCTCGAAATTAAAGAAAATCATAAATGGCTGGAAAAACTCAGCAGATCAGGCAGCATCTGTGGAGAGAAAGCAAAGATTATGGTTCAGGTCCAGTGATGCTTCTTCAGAACTCAGATGTTTTTTGAGGGGGTCACTGGACCCAAGATGTTTTTCAAAAACAAAATGAGAAATTGCTGGAATCTATGAACCCCGATTTCTGAACTCTACTAAGACAGGTTCCTCCTGTCAACTCTACTTCTCAATTTTGGTTACCTCAAACATGTCACCCCTCAGCTTTCTCTGTTCCAAGGAAAACCACTCCAACCTCTCCTCACAGCTATAATTCATCCATCCCTCAGGGTTGAGTGCCTTTGGATTTTGTTTCAATTTTGTTTTTAGGAGAGACGGCAGATTGAGTCTTGATTATGAGCATGGCAACATGCTCGTAAATCTGGTCTCGTGTTCTCTCCAAAGCAATTATGTCCTTCCTGCAACATGGTGACCAGAACTGCACAGTTAAGGCATTGTGAGCCAACCTGCAGCAAATGGATTGCAGCTGTTCAAAATGAAACCTCACCACTTTCTCATGGGCAACTAAGGACAGGCAATAAATGCTGGCCAATCAGCGACACCCACATCCCACAAGTGAATAAAAAAATTCTAAAAGGGAGGCAGCAAGCAAGAAGCTACAGGCCAGTTTGTTTAATGTTTGATAGAGAAAATGTCAGAAACCATCGAAAGGTTTTATACCAGGGCTTCAAGCAGATCAAACATTGTTTTGTCAAGGAAACCATGCTTAATTGTTCACGTTCTTTGAAGCGTAACTGATGTTGTAGAAAAAGGAGAACCAGCGGATGTACAGGTATTAATGCTGGGCCTGCAACTCTTTACAATTTTACAGGAAGTGATTTGGATGAAGGATCAAAGGTATGTTAGCTAAATTTGCTTATGACAAAGACAGGTAGAGCTGTGAAAGGACACAATGATATAGATAGTTTAATTCAATGGACAAACATTTAGCAAGTGGAGTACAATGTGGGTCAGTGTGAAATTGTGCTTTTTACAGAGCCAAAACGGATATTACCCAAGTGGTGAGAAGGTGCAAAGCTGACATATAGATCTAGGTACCCTACTGCATGAATCACAGGTTAGTATGCAAGTAATCAGGAAAGCTAAACAGAAAGTAAGATTTTATTGCAAGGACAATTGAATGCGCAAGTGGAAAAGTTATACTTCAGTTACAGAGCATTGGTGAAACTGCACCTGGAGTAGTGTACAGCACTGAACACCATTCTTGCAGAAGGAAGTTAATGCATAGGAAGCAGTTCAGAAGAAGTCTACTAAACTAATATCTGGAATTAGTGAATTCCCTTAGGAAAGACTAGATGGGCCAAACCGAAATCCTGACGTTGGGACTAGATTCATATAGGATATCTGGTCAGTATAGACAAGGTGGACCGAAGGGCCCATTTCCATGCTGTATATTTCTAGGACTCTACTGAAACAAATCATGAAGGAACTTCAGGAAAGGTCACTAGACCCCGAAACGTTAACTCAGTTTTCTCCTTCACAGATGCTGGCAGACCTGCTAACTTTTCAGACCACCAGACTTTTCCAGCAACTTTTGTTTTTGTTCCTGAAGGAACTTCACCAGGTTGATGTGGAAAGGATGTTTCCTCTTGTGGGAGAATCTAGAACGGGGTGGGGGGGGGGCTTTAAGACAGATGAAAACCCCAGCCCCTCAGGGTTGAGTGTCTTTAGAATTTGGTTTCAATTTGTTTTTAAGAAAGAGGCAGATTGAGTCTTGATCACCAAAGGTATGCAAAATTATTAGGGATATGCAGAAATATAGACTGGAGGTTAAAACCAGATCAGCCTTGATCACTAATAGAGTAGCAGAACAGACTAGAAGGGTCAAGTGGCCCACTCTTGTTCCTTGCTTGCAACTCCCATTCTGGCGTTTTTAATTTTAAATGTCAAATGTCAGAAAGCAAGTAATTACCTTGTTACAAGGGAGAATGAACAATTTACATTTCCATTATGAAGCACACCTAAAACTAAAACCAAAGATTCTAAGCACTGCCTATCTGCAGCTACGTAGATACTCCCCTTAGTAATGTGTACCATCAACATTAACATGTTTTTAAGTACACAAACTGATGCAATATGCACAAATAACACGAGGTGTGCAAGGAGACAAGGGGTCAAATCCAGGGCTTGTGGCATCAATGCCCTCACATCCACTATAATCAGATTCAAAGCTTCCCTTGCCCATGGTTTTACAACAAGTAAAAACAAGAAACCATGGTGTGTCAGACATGACCTCCTATCATTGTCAACCTAACCTTTTATCCTTTTCTGTGTCTAAGCCCATCTAGTTATTTTTCTAGATTCTGACATAGAATGTGGGTAACACTGACAAGGCTAGCATTTGCTGCCCATCTCTAAATGCCTTTGAATAAGGAGGCTCACTAAGCTATTCCAGTTGAGAATCAATCTTTTCACCACAAAATCTTGAATCAAAAGTTCCACCATGACGGCAAAATTTGAACTTGTACTCCCAAGGTATTAAAATGGGCCTCCGGATTACTGAGCCAGTGATATTACCACTATACACAGTGCAAGAAAGCTAACTAGCTCAAAAAGTTTCAATTTTTTTTTTAAAAAAAGATGATCTAATGAAGAAAACATTCATGCAATGAAAACTAAATTGAGAATTGATAAAGGAAAAATGGAGATAGCAAGTCAACTGAATATATATTTTGCATCAGTCTTCACTTTATGAAACAAATAAGATTTTGGATATAGCTGTAAACCAAAACAGGCGGAGCGAATGCAGGAATATTAGTCACCAGAGGAATGATTGGGGTGAATTACTGGAGCTGTGATCTAATTTCCCAAGGTCCTGACAGCCTTCACCCTAAGGTCTTGAAAAAAATAAGCAGCAAGTACTTTGGAGAAGTAACATGCAGAGAGTGAAAGGGACCCAATACTTAATTAAAAAAAAACCAAGTGCTGGAGTAACCCAGCAGGTCCAGCAGCAACTGTGGAGAGAACAGGTCCAGTGAGACTTATTCTGAACTGCTTTGAGTTTTTACTTTCTGCAATAACCTCAATGTAGAGGCAGCATATTGATGCAGATAGAAAGTTAATAAAAACCCAAGAGAAGTGCAGATGTTGTAAATCAGGAACAAAAACAAAGTTGCTAGAAAAGCTCAGCAGGTCTGGCAGCATCTGTAAAGAAAAAACCCAGAGTTGACATTTCGGGTGCAGTGAGGAAGGGTCACTGAAACTTGAACTCTGATTTTTCCTTCAAATGCTGCCAGACCTGCTGAGCTTTTCCAGCAACTTTGTTTTTGTTCCAGATAGAAAATAGGCTGGTTAACAGGAAGCAACAGCATGCATACATTTTGATTGACAAGAAGTGGTGTAACATAGGTAACTGGTGCCAAGACCTCAATTGTTACAATTTTTGAAATAACTTGGATGAAAGGACAAACAGCATGGCTGCCAGAGGGAACAAAGACAGGTAACAAGGTAAGCTAAGAGGACAATTTGGTAAAAAGAGGGATAAACAGTGATTGGAAAACAACATGGAAAACTGTATTGTAAGAAACTGAAGAAACTCAGGAGGTTTGGCACCACTTGCAGAGAAAGAAACCGAATTTCACTAGCAGCCATTTCATTTCAGATTTGCAGCACCCGTAGTGCTTTACTTTTATAATACCTGGAATAAGCAGCTTGCCAGATGAGGAAAGGTTAGATGGGCTAGGATTCTAGTGGAAGTGGATAGTTCCGGGTTAGGAACAGGATGAAAGATTCAGACGTAGGTAGGAAAGCAGATAATGTTCCAATCAGATCAACTATCATCTTATTGGAGAAGCAGTCTCAAAGGGCTAAACACAATACTCCTTTTGTTTGTTGATACCATATCTTCAACTTGGTAATGTTATTTGTCTTAATAATCTGACATGTGTCCAGATTTCCTGTTGGATTTATCATCAACACTGTTACATGGCTTCTAAAATCAATTCTGACCCTTTCTTTATCCTTCCACTGTGAAGGAACTGCAATGGCAGAGACCCTCGACAACACCATACCTGAAGTTCTCTGCAGTTTCAATCTTTATCACCAAAGGAGGAATAGAAATTACACTTGGTAGGGGAGAAACCAAGCCTCACTAGATTGAAACAAAGTGCTGGAGAAATTCACCAGTTCTGGCAGCATCTGTGGAGGAAGAAAAGAGGATCATTGTTTCCAGTTATCTTGAGAATGAGAGCTCCGATTTCCAAAGGCAGCATTTTATTCTAACAGCACCTCCTCTGGACCACTCTCCTCTACAACCACGACCACTCCCTTCACAAGATCAGAAATTGCTGGAAAAAAAACTCAGCAGGGCAGGCAGCATTATGTGAAGGGAAAGAAGATTCAACGTTTGGGGACTAGTGACCCTTCTTCAGAACCAGTCCTCTCCCTTCACCTTTTGTTCTATGATTATTGGGTTTCCCCCAGCTTAAACCCCCCACCAACCCCGTTCACGATCTTCGAGACTCTTTCACTTGCAGATTCCTGGGGTACATTGCATTCAAGGCGGGCTTTAGGATACAAGAGTATTAGAGTTCATTGGGGGCAGGCGGTAAGGCACTGATCCGACTGAACTACAATGGACTCAGACCGTGCACACCACCCCTACTCGGTGGGGGCACGCACCCCAAACCGCACATACCCGTCCCATATACTGCAGGGACACGCATCTCCAACACATTTACCCCCAAAATTATTCAAACCGAGTGGCGGTTACAGGGAACGCGCTGCCGCCGCGCTCGAACAAACAGCACAAAATGGCGGCCGGACCCACCGGCGGCCACCACGGCTCTGGTGGGTCTGGAATTCGGGCTGCCCGGAGCACAGGGCGCGGCGGGATCCCTCCAGCCGATCAGTCAGCCCGGGTAAAACAGACGGAGCCGCCGATGAACAGAAAGCCCGGCGGTAGGGCTCCCTCCCACCTCAGAGCGCACGCTATCTCCCTCCTCCTCCCTACCCACCCCCCGCACAACATGGCGCCCTCTCTCCATTAAAACCCCGCCACTTTCTCTGAATGAATACCACAGATCAGGGTACCTCCCTGTCTCTCTCACACAATCTCAGGGGGAATGTAAGGTGCCGGCGGCCCGAGGAGGTTCCGTGCCCTCACCCAGCGCTGTCCCTGAAGCCGCTCACCCAGACACTGCTGCTCCTACCGCCGCCTCGGTCTGCGCCACAGACACAAATGGCCGCCGCTGGCGGGCTCGCCGCCTTTTATAGAGCCGCCTTCCCGCCAGAACGAGGCTTCACTGCCCGGATGTACCGAGGTTGGGGGCGGGGTTCGGAGCCTGGATCAGCCCCCGGAGTGAGCCAGATCGGCGCTGCATCCAACCCGGAGTGATCGGGACCAGCACTCGATCCCTCCCCGCCGGACAAACCTCAAGGGATCTCTCTCCCACTGCAACTCTATCGTAATCTCTTTGGCCCTGAAACTGCTCGACCACGTCCTGAAGCACGCTTGGACATAGAGCAGTTTTTCCTCTTCTATCCGCCTCCCACTCTCTCCCTATTTATTTCAAAACCCCCTTCCCCTCCCCCTTTTCTGATGAAGGGTCTCGGCCCGAAACGTCAGCCTCTCTGCTCCTATGATGCTGCTTGGCCTGCTGTGTTCATCCAGCCCTGCACCTTGTTGTCTCTAGTTTCCTTCCCAGATGGGTTTTCTGACTATTAATAGACAAAGGATTCACAGTCATCATTAGATTCTCAATTCCAGATATTTTACTGAATTCAAATTCCAGCATCTGCCATGGCAGGATTTGAAACCCAGTCCACAGAACATTATCTGGGTCTCCGCATTAGCAGTCCAGTGATAATACCACTAAGTCATCACCTTTCCCTGCATCACCCCCAGAGTGACCTCCATCGGCACTGAATCACGACCCCACTGTGATTCAGAACAGCCCCCTATCAGCCCCAGAAGGATCTGGTTCAGCAGTCGATCACCCAACCGCAGAATGGTTTGGATCGGTGCTGGATCATGTGATCAACACCAGTATGATCCACAGCAAAGCTCAGTCACCCCCTAGAGTGATCTGGAACAGCAATTAGTCATCCCCAGAGTTATCTGGAAGGGCACTGGATCACCCTCAGATTGTTTATTGTTGTCAGATGTACCAAGCTGTAGTGAAGAGTGTTGTTTTGCATGCTATACAGGCAGATCATACCACGTAAAGTAATCATGGTAGCAGAATACAGTTACAGCCATAGAGAAGGTGTACAGAAAGATCAGAATTGGGCATAAGTTTAAAGGTGAGAGGGGAAAGACTTCAAAAGGAGCTAAGTGGTAACTTTTTCACTCAGAGGGTGATGCGTGCATGGAATGAGCTGCCAGAGGAAGTGATGGAGGCTGGTACAATTACAACATTTAAAAGGCATCTGGCTGAATATATGAATAGAAAAGGTTTCGTGGGCTATGGGCCAAATGGGACTTGGTCAGATTAGGATGTCTGGTCAGCGCAGGTGAGTGGAACCAGTGTTTCCATGCTGTACATCTCCATGACTTAAGTTCTTTTCCAAGCCACTCACTGTCCTGCCCTGGAACTAGAATCACCATTTCCTTCACTGTTGCTGTGTAAAAATCCTAGTACTCTTCCCCACCCACCCAACCCCTCCATTGTGGGTCTACCTACAACACAGACTGCAACAGCACAAGAAAACAGCTCCCTCAAGGGCAACCATGGATGGGCCAGTGACGTTCCATCCTATGATGGAATAAAAAGGCACAACCTGTTTTAAATTCTTTAGGGGCATTGTTCACATAATCTTAGAATGGTTACAGGAGGAGGCCATTTGGTGTGAATGGCTTTTGGGGCATTTTGCATGAGAAATTCAGTTAGTTGCTGTTTCTGGCCCTTTCTCGGTTGCTTTCTTTTGTATCCTTATACAGTTTTCTTTTAACTGGATTGCATTTTGCTGCGTCACCACATTATCAGGTACTGCATTTTGGAGCCTAAATCATTCACTATCAATTTTTGTGGTGATAGTTTGATATGATTCAGACTTTGGAAGTGAAAGAACCACAAACACAAGTCAAAGTCACTTATAAAAAGAGGTGCAAGTCCCATTTGCCCCAGGTGTGTCATAACATGTCTGACCAGGCTGATTAAAAATCTCAATTAAATGTAGCAGAAGAGCAACATCAGTAGAAGGATCTGTGGCATTACATCCACAACTTCCCATCTTTCTCATTGTTGGGTTTCTGTTCACTGCCAGTGGCTGCCTAGCTTTTTAAATCTTTCAGTGAGAGATAAGTGTGCTGACAGAACAAAAAAAAAATGGAGAAATACAATACAGGTTGCAGGTGTTGCTGGAGGACACTCGTCCGGTGGGAAATCTACAGTCAGACAACATCATTTCCTGTCATTCGTTCTCCATCTGCTCCTGCAATAATCACTGTGTAACACCTATTCCAGGTATTATGTTTGCTCCCAACATCACCTGATATGTTTTTTTTAAAAAACATCCTGTCCCCTTGCATACTGGGACCTTAGGTTCCAATGATTCAGTTAATTGCAGCTGTTTAATGTTTATTGATCAGCTTGTCCATTTTCATCCTGTTCTGTCCAAGCTCATCGTGTGAGAGAGATAACAAATCTCTCACTTGTATGTACAGACAGTAAAAGGGGTGTGTTGCTTGTTTAAATATGATGGTGAGGGCAATCTTGAAGTGACTGGAGAGGAATTTGGAAATGGAGGTTCTAAGTCCAGTTAACGTGTTATGATCCCAGCTGATGGTACTACTGGACATTCTAATACCAGAATGGAATCAGGCTGGAGATCTTTTGTTAAAATTATCCTGGTGATCATTTGTTGAAACAAAAATCACATGAGGTTGCACAGTTTCTTGAAGAACAGAATGTAAAAATTGACAAAAGACAAAAGCAAAGAAGAAAACAAGTTGTTATCTTGATATGGAACAGAGTTTAAAAAAAAAATGTCTGAAAACATTCAGCCAAAATTTTAATTTATTCCCCAATACCATCACTTCACATTGATTCAGATGCAGAGAAATTACCCCTCTGTAGCACATTCAAGTTTGGTGCAGCTGATTCACCGAAGTTCTTTCTTGTAGACCGTTAAGTTTTCTAATATGAATACTTAAAAAATCTGAGAAAATCTCAACACACCACTATTAATTTCTCTCAAACCTTTCTCATCATTAAGTTGCACTAATGTTTCTCACTGATGTAGCTGCTTTCTCAGAAGTGGCCAGTACTTTTTTTTCCCAAAAAAAAAAAGGAAAAAAAACACTATTTGATTCTGACCCAAATCAGGTCTCCGCTGAACTGTCAGAGCATTTCATCCTCTTCGAACGGTACAGCACAGGAACAGGTCCCTTTGGCCTACCAGAGATAGCAAGAACTGCAGATGCTGGAGTCAGAGACAACACAGCAGGCAGGCAGCATCAGAGAAGCCGCAAAGTTGATGTTTTGGACCTCAACCTTCCTGCTCCTCTGATACTGCTTGGCCTGCTGTGTTCCTCCAGCTCCATATTGTGTTGTCCCTTTGGCCTATCATCTCTGCATTGACCATGATGCTATTCTAAACGAATCCTATTTGCCCACAAATGGTCCATATCTATAGAAAATGATAGAGCATGGGGTAGGGCAGAGGTGTATTCAGCACGTGTCCATGCTGACCCAAAGACACCCAGATCCCTCTTCCTAATTCTATCAACCTGCACACAGACCATAGCCCTGCAGCTTACAGCAGTTATGGTGCAGATCCAGGTACTGTTTGAAAGATTTTAGGTCTCTCTCCCCCAGTAACTCAGGCAGCAAATTCCAGACAACCCTTTGTGTAAAAAGGTTTTCAGGGTGAGCTTGACCTTGCCAATTTAATCCAGTTTTTGTATTCAATGGCAGGAGACAGTGGTGTGGAGGGTTGTTTTTCGAACTGGAGGCCTGTCACCAGCAGTGTTCCACAGGGATATGGGCTGGGTCCACTTTTATTTGTCATTTTATATAAAATGATTTAGAGGAGGATATGAGGCATGGTTAGTAAGTTTGTGGATGACACTAAAATTGGTGTTATAGTGGACAGTGAAGATTATCTAAAAATCACTTGGGACTCAGATCTGGACTTTTCTTTCTCTCACTTAGTTTTTGGCTCTGTTAAATCTTTTAATTATGTTTTTTTGTAGCCAAGTGGGTGCCATGAATGGTGACTTTGTGCACTTTTCACCGTACTTACGTATTCCTATACTTAGTATATGTGACCAATAAGTAACTAAATATAAAAACAAAGCTCTTGATCAATTGGGTCAATCGGCTAGAGTGGCAGATAGGGTTTGATTTGTACAAATGAGAGATATTGCAGTTTGGTAAATCAAAAAAAAAAAGGGCAGGTCTTATACAGTAAAAAGTAGGTCCTGGGGTAACACTGTAGAACGGAGACTTAGGGGTTCAGGAACATAACTCTATGAAGTTTGCAGCACATGTAGACGGGATGGTTAAGGTAGCGTTTAGCACACTAGGTTTCAGTACTCAGACCTTTGAATATAGGAGTTGGGATATCACGTTGAGGTTTCTACAGAACATTGGTGAGGCCTGTTCTGGTCACCCTGTTGTAAGGAAGATATTAAAATGAGCTGGAGAGGGTTCAGAAAAAGTTTACCAGGATATTGCCTGGTATGGAGGATTTGAGCTAAAGGAGAGTTGGATAGGCTGGGACTTTTTCCACTCGAGCTTGGGGGTTGAGGGGTGACCTTACTGAGGTTTATAAAATAACAAGGGGTATAGGTAAGGTTGTTTCAGAGATAGTAGGAACTGCAGATGCTGGAGAATCCGAGATAACAATGTGTGGAGCTGGATGAACACAGCAGGCCAAGCAGCATTGGCCTGCTGTGTTCATCCAGCTCCACACCTTGGTATAGGTAAGGTAACTGGCAGGTGTCTTTTCCCTCCGGTGGGGGATTTCAAGACAAGCGGACATATTTCTTAAGGGGAGCGGAGAAATGTTTAAAAAAAGACATGGAGGGGCAATTTTTTTCGAAAACAAAGTGGTTTATGTTTGCAATGAACTTCCAGAGGAACCGGTGGATGCAGATACAGTTACAAATGTTTAAAAGACATTTGGATAAGTACATGAATAAGAAATATTTGTATGGATATGGGCCAAGTGCAGTCGGGTGGGACTAGTTAAGTTTGGGATTATGGTAGGCACAGACTGGTTGGACCAAACAGTTGTTTCCTTGCTCTTTCAC